CCCCGAGGCAGCCACTGGAGTCACCAGAGGGAACTGGACCTTCCTTGGGTGGTGGGAAGCCCCAGCAGTGGCCATCAGCCAGATGAGCACAAGTCACTCACCTCAGGCACCTGGGGCTGGCCCCAAATCCCTGTGGGATTTCTCCATCACCCCCACCCAAACCAGCCCATCCCAAGCAGCTCTTCCTTTTCCCAAGGGAAGCTGACACCACACACAGAGCATCTCCAGCCACGCAGGTTAACAACCACCGAGGCACAGCCAGGAAAGCCCAGCCCAAAGCCTGACCTGAGCCCAGGGCTGGCTCAACAAGCACCCCTGTCTGTCCAGGGCAGCTGCTCTCCCCTGGGATTGCAGGCAGGGAAGCCTGGCATGGTTCTGTTTGCTTTGGGATTCAGGGAACCAAAATGCCATTCAGGTGGGCATTGGTTCCAGCACAGATGTCACCACGTGCCACAGCACTGCCACACACACCCAGGACAGCAGCAGGGAAGGCAGCAGAGCCCTCAGCAAAGCCTTTGGCTGCATCCCCCATCCAACCTCTCCACCCTGACTTGGGTTTGGTCTGGAATCCAGGCACAAGGCAGAGGGAAGGGAATCCACTCACACCCTGCACTGCCTGCGGTCCCCACTCACGCTGGGAAGGAGCCATAAATGCTGAACTGGTTTAAGACATGGGGAACTGGACTGAGACAAACAAGCTGAGGCTCTGAAGGCCCAGGCTGGAGCAGTGATGAACCCTGACAGATCTACCAGTGAATGTGAGACCTGGGAAAAGACCTCCCACCCAACCCCCAGCCCGCTGAAAAGACCAAAAAACTCCCTTTTTGCTCAGTGGGTTTTGGAGCCAACCCCAAGTGTTGCAAACATTTATGGGATAGCTCCACGCTCATCCCACGTTTGTCCACACTGGTGGCCCCTGCACTTGGAGTGAAGCTGATGCATTTCTGTAGCTATAAGCAGTTGTTTGTCACTGACTCCCTGTGAATTTCACAGGGAAACTCATTTCAGAGCCATGAAATGAGGGACTTCGCCACTGAATAAACCAGTGAATAAACCCAGGAATATTTTCTAAGCTGGGATTTTTATTTTGTACCTATATTCCATACTCTGGTCCTGCTTCCCACCGGTGTCCAATCCCCTCCATTCAACAAGGATGGGGACTCCTCTGGGTGCCACATGACACATTTATTTTAGGAGGGGCTGAACTCACCAACTGTGAGTTATTTAACTGTACCCAAACTCTAACCCACTGCCAGCAGTTTGCCATTGCCACTCCAGGAGGATCCAGGAGGATCCAGACCAAGTTTTCTTCTAGGAAACAACTGCTACCCTGCACCTCAACCCTGCCCAAAACGCCCCATCCACACCAAGCTGGATGCCCCAGATCCATCCCTGGTCCCTGTTTTTCCTCATCCATGGAGCTGTGGGCCTTCTCCAAGCGCTGGGAAGGACAGCAGCTCCCATCCAGCCACACATGCAGCATGTGCTGTAACTCTGGGCATGTGACTGCAGCTGGAATTGCTCATGTGCTGCACGTTGTGCTGCTCGGGGCCTTGGCCGGGGCATCCCAGCCCGGAGAGCCCGCGGGCACAGCGGCTGTGCCTGCTGCAAGGAGGGCAGGGAGCTCCCCTGGCTCACCTCGCCAGAGGTGACACAGAGCCAGCACAGGTGTGACACGGGCGAGGACGAACCCCAGGTTCATCCACGGCCTCCAGCCAAGCACCGGAGCCAGTGAAAACCAGGCAGACCCTTCCCGCTGGGGGTTTTTGGGAAGGAGCTGGCATTCCTGACCTCTCAAGGCCCTGTGCACACGCAGATCTCAGCAAAAAGCCAGGCTGGGGGAGGCAAACAGGGGCTGCCCTTAGCCCTGGGCATCGGGGCAGGCTGGCACAGCTCCCTGGGCATCGGGGCAGGCTGGCACAGCCCATTCCACCTCCTGCTCCCCTCTCCACGGTGGGAATTCACGGGTGGGAAAGGTCCAACAAACACGGCATCCTCTCAGCAGCACGGGGAGCTGGGCAGGGCCGGCTCCCGGATTTCTGTCACACACACGCATGCACGGAGCGGGGAAGGCAGGAAAATGTCCCCGGCACCGCGGCGGAGAGGGGCAGCGGAGCATCCCGCCGGCCCCATTCCCCAGGAAACTCCC